TGGTGACCAACGCCCATATTCACACAATGCAAAGAGGTAGAAAACTGTGCAACCAGGTGTGTAATGAACAGCAAGAGGATGGAATTTGCAGTAAAATGAAATGAAAACAACATTTCTTGCACAAATCTGATAGCATTTAGGCTCTTCCCTCTCTAGATTATGGATTAGTTGTATATGTAGCTAAGGAGATATGGTGGTGCTGTGGTTAGGCTTTGGGCAACTAATCACAGGGTCATTCATTGAAATCCACCAGTCACTACCCAGGAGAAAGATGAGGTTGTCTGCTCCCATAAAGAGTTATAGTTTCATAAATCCTATATAAGGTCTTAGTTGGATCAACTCAGTGGCAATGGGTATAGGCAGGTATTTTTAGAGTCAAATCAGTCTATTAATTAAGAGTTATTTTGTCTGTCTTCTTCTGTGAGTGAGTGTGTGTGTTATATTAAACTATCTCATATTTCCTTGTCTTTCTGTTGCAAAAGATCAGGTATAAATCTGGTCTCTCTATAATAGGTAAGGAACTCTAATAATCAATCTAAATTATTTTATACATTTTCATATTTGTGCAGTCCCTTATTTTTAGGACGTGGTCATTCACTGGTATCACTTGAAACAATGAGGTATTTGTAAGGGTCCCTTCTCCTTAAAGTTTCTATTTTCTTGTGCTCTTACACCAGTGCAGTCCTTTGGATTTGTTTCTCTAAAGTACTCAGACTAACACATTATGGTACCTTGGGAGTGGGGTACTAGAGAAACAAATCATAAGATGGAGAGTAGATGTTTGCTTGACCTGTCCCTCGTGGTAGTTTTTCTTGTCTAGCCACAGGTCAGATGAAGCCACACTATTTGCTCACTTGTTTTCTGGGAAAATATGGCAAGTATGAAAATAGAAAGTTTGTAAACCCACTAGCTTTGAGCCATTAAAATTTAATCTTTACATGGGTTTAGGCCATGCCTGCAAAGAAAGCTATACAAGGAAGGCTAGGCCCCACCCAGTGTTTCGGAGTACTCAGGAAGGAACCAATGGTCTTTACTAGAAGCTGGAAAAAATCTGGAACCATGAAGAAAACTCCTCCCTTGGACTGAAAGTCGAAGGGAGCCTGTGAGCAGGCTGAAATGCTTGCTAGGTGACCACCTGGATCTACTTGTTGAGTGGAGATGGGAGAAATGCAGCAATAGACAGGTTGAGTTTGGCCACTGACACATGTGGACTTGGTTTACAGGAAAAAAAGGAGAAGACGAGAGCGAGTTGACTGGTTTAAACTTCATGACCTAGCACGAGAGGCTTGTTGAGTATTGGTGAGAGTCCATGGTCTAAAGGCAAGGCAACCAATGGGCATGCTGTGGAGGCTGAATGAGGGTACCCACATTGAGTTGACCAGATGGAGATTTTTGAGCCTGTGAACTGGTGCATATTGTTGCTGACTTTATGAATGGTCTGTCTGGATTTGACTTTGCTTATGGATGCAGATTTCACAAGGTTCCAACTGGAATGAAGACTCTTCATGTCGAAAAATATGATTGTCTTCTCAGAGAACTGGGTTGATGTAAGTGGGCAGTATATAAATTGGATACTCAAAATTGGGGGGATAAAGGCATGAAGTTGTTGGCTTACAAACTTTCATGGGTGGGGGAACATATTCATAAGATTATAGGATTAAGGTGTAGGTGTTACTTAATTTCAATCGTGAAGTTAAAGAATTATGTACAGGTGTCAGGATGGCAAGGAGTGGATTGAGGTAGTTAGTTTATTGTGCCAACTTGGCCGATAAACATATGTGGGGTTAATTGAAGGGTGGAGGGATACATGGCTCTGTGAGCCTCGCCTTTTGAGTTCTTGGGTCTCTGGCTTTGTGATGGTCGGAGCAGGGTGCCGCTGCCTTAGCCAGTTCCCTACTTTAGCTGACAAGGCTCACTTACTGCAAGACATCCCTGAGGAGAAGCCACATGGATCTAGGGCAGATGCAGCCCTGGGTGCTGGAGGAGCTGTGTGGAGACTGCTGCCAGAGCTGAGATGTTTACCCATTCACTGACTCAGCTTTCCTCTTGCAGTCAGGATCATTGTGTCTCTTTTGTGAGATGGAGGAGGACTTTGTGGATTGGTGTTGGACATATGGGTTAATGGGTTTATGTTGGACTTGTGGCTTCGGCAGCCCTGGGTTGGGGTGTTTTCTTGATGCACACTTAACCTTTACATAAAACTCTCTCTTATACATGAGTTTCTGTGGATTTGTTTCTCTAATGTACCCAGACTATTACATTAAGGTAAACAGAAAATTTTTGTTATGAGGTTTCCAGTTCATACATCCAAAGTTTGACTCCAAATGAAAGGCATTCCAACACATCTTTGCTGTGAGTGGATGGCTGTAGACAATTTATGTGAACAATACACTAGTGTGAGTCTCCTTGGGATGCCTTCAACAAAACCAAACAAACAAACCAAACATGACAACTTCATGCCACAGGAAAAAAGATTTGGAGTTCAGGGCTCATATCAAATACTTAAGAAAATTAAGATGGACATCTTCCCAAATCATTGAAGCATTGCTACAAGTTTACAGGAATGTTCTGCCACATTTTAGATGGAACAAGCAAACTAACAAAATTGGGAAGATCTCAAATATAAACCAAGAAAGGGAAGACGGTCAGTCTCAATGATGAGGTAACTCTCGCTGACACCCAGAAACTAGTGGGAAAAGACCATGGAATTACCACTGATGTTACAATGCCTGAAGCAGAGATCTCACATGTTTCAACATTTTCAATTTTAGGTGAATCTCTTGGCCTCAGCTCATTGGATGGCAAAAAAATTTGCACAAAGATCACTTAGCTCAAAGAACTAATCATTCTATCACTCTTTTAACCAACACTGAAGAGGGTAAAGGCAATTTTATGGAATGGCTAATAACAAGAGATGAGACTTAAATTTGTTGATATAGACTAAAGATCAAGAAGGAATAAAAACAGTGTTTCCAAAAAATCAATGACATGAAAACACAATTTGTAAATAATCATGGTTTCATGAGGGAGGGAGAAAGGGTGATGGAAGGAGGGGGGAGGAAATGAGGAGCTGATACCAAGGGCTCAAGTGGAAAGAGAATGCTTTGAAAACGATGATGGTAACATATGTACAAATGTACTTGAGACAATGGATGGACGTATGTATGGACTGTGATAAGAGTTGTACGAGCCCCCAATAAAATGAAAAAAAAAAAAAAAGAATGAGAAGACAATAAAAAAACAATCAGTCAATGGAAAATCATATGGTTCACAACCACCCAGTGTGGTTTTTGTGAATTGGGTTGCTATGATTCTGTCTTGGCAATGGTAACAACAACCATGGAGGAGGGACAATCCTAGGTTGTTTGTGTTTTTTAAAGTCCATAGATAGGAAATCTCTGATTCAGCTTCCTCTGGAGTTTGCCACATGAGAAAATGTGATATCTTATGGTCTTAAAAAATTCCCTATATTTGGAGTGAAAGAGAACTGGTTATTTCTGCTGAGCTATCAATATTATATGGAAATTAAAATATTAATTTAATAATTTTTAAATTTTTCATTGAAAATTCTATAATGTTCATTTTATCATTATCTTTTGTTATAGACACAATGCATGGAAACATGGGCATGTTCTAAATTTAAAACATTTGAACCTTAATCATAAAGAGCTGACTACAAAGACTCCATTCTCTTCGTACTTGCTTGCTTTCTGCTGTCAACTCCTCGGTTTTCCTTCTGAAATTCAATTTCTAACAGAATTGTTCTAGGCGTAGATTATGAAGTAACTTTTTCTCATGCCAAGTGTACTTGTTACTATACATAGTCACACACAAACATACTTAAAGTCACTTACATCAGACTTTTATTCCCTGTAATCCACGTAATCTACATTTGCTAGCACTCTTTAGTAAAATAATTTGAAAAACATTTTAAAGTTATATTTTGCTTAATAACACTCTATGCTCCTTGAAAACCTTTTGTTGTTTCTTGTGCTTGGTTTCCCACTTGGTATTTGGTCTCTGAAACATCCATTTCTTTTCACTGTTCTCCCACCCACTCTTCCTTTTCAGTCATCTTCTCTGGAAGAGCTCACCCAGTTATATAGCTTTAACTGAAATCCGCACATGTATGCCTGAAAATTTCATAATGTCTTCTCCATCCGTTTTCTTGTATTCATAAGCCCTTTGTCTGTGTGACATATCTTCTTGGGCAAATAGCATGTATCCTCAAGCTTAAAATAATCCAATGAGAATCCTTGAATCCCTTCTTCCTACTGTAATTCTTCCTGAAAGAAGCTTCACTTTCTATTTCTCTATTTGAACACCATGGCTTAATTCTTAATTTCTGATTCCAAGCCATCAAAAAGTTATTTTGGTGCCTTAAATACTCTACTTTTTTCAAGTTATCAGTTTTATTCAAGCCATGCTTATATTTTGTTATAACTTTTGAAATTTAATCCTAACCAGTTTTATGCTGTATGTTTTATACTCCTATATTCTTTCTCTACAAAAAACTGAGCAATTCTATTAAAATATGAATAGATCACTCATATGGTTCCCCAGCCACTCAGAGTATATCAAGAGTTCCTTCCCCTTGTTGATCAGTGATCGAAATCCTAATCGTTTCCTTGTTCTATTGCCTAAGTATCCTGCTCTCATTTTACTCTTGACATCATGACCTCTACATAATAAAATTTAACTTGTCAGTGGAAATGAGATTTACACCTGTGTTCTTTTGATTTGGTTGTTTTAGGGCATCAGCGTTCATTATGAATAATTATATATGAGGTTGTTGCAGACAGTGTTTTTTGGGGTTATAAAATTAATGAATGTTTAGTAACTGGCATGAAATATGTGTTCTTCAGTTAAACGCTAAATGAAATGAAAAATGAGTGAACGGATAAATGGAGAAAGATATTCATATTGAACTATGTTCTAAAAGTTTATTTGCTTTATGAGAACTATGTAAGGGCCATACTTCACATAGTAATTTAAGAATTCTATTTTTCTTTTGAGATAAACACAATCCGTTTGACTAAGTCATTGAAGGCTTCTTTTACCTGTTTGTTCCTTAGTGTGTAAATAAATGGGTTCAATGTGGGAGAAACAGATGACATGAGCACTGACACACCTTTGTTAATGTCTACATCATCCTTTGCTGATGGTTTCATATAAATAAAAATACAGCTGCCATAGGTGATGAACACCACAACCATATGGGAAGAACAGGTTGAAAAGGCTTTTTTTCTTTGTTGAGGAGACGGGAATTTGAGAATGGTTCTGATGATGTATGTATAGGATAGAACTACACAAACCAAGGTGGTCATTAATACCATCACAGTAAAAATTAAAACAATCTGCTCCAATAACCAGGTGTCTGAGCATGAGATCTTTAGGATAGGTGACGGATCACAGCAAAAATGATCAATGATATTTGAGTTACAGAAATCTAGATTGAAACCAAGGCTCAGAGGTGGGAGGATAAGCATTAAAGCTGTTGTCCAACAACAAAGGACAAATATGATACAAACTCTACTGTTTATGATGGTCATATAATGCAGAGGCTTACAAATGGCCGCATATCTGTCATAAGACATAGTTGCCAGGAGAAAAAATTCTGTTATCCCAAAAAGATCAATAAAAAATAATTGGCTAGCACATGCATTATAAGTAATGGTCCTATCTCCAGTTGATAGGCTATAAAGAAACATGGGAACACAAGTAGTTATAAATGAGACTTCCAAGAAGGAAAAATTTTGGAGGAAAAAGTACATGGGTGTTTTAAGGTGTGAATCCACAAAGGTTAGTGTGATGATCATCAGATTTCCAGTTACACTCAACATGTAAGTGATAAAAAGAAAGATAAAGAGCAGAACCTGCAAGTGTGGGTCATCAGTCAGTCCCAGGAGGATGAATGTTGTTATGGATGTATGATTTTTCATTACTGATTCCTGAGATGTGCTCGGTCTGCATGAAAAATTCAGACATTGCAGATAAGGTCATATATATCAGACTCAACTAGTGATGAATATAGACTTGAAAAGCTAAACAGCTAGCATATAATTTATTCTTTTTACCTGAAAGATCTGCATTGCCCAAATAATTGATTTGAGTTCTCTTAGAATATCTTCCAGGGTAATGGCAACCAGGGATTGCTTTAAGATATTGATTTGTGTATCTTAGTCCAGTCCTTCTGGAATTTATATTTCCATCCTTCATGTCCATTTAATTTGGCATTTAAAAATTCAATTTGTTTAATTAAAGTACTCTGGTTAAATGCAACTCTATATGCAATGATATTTCATAGGTTCTTTTCTTTAATCAGCTACTCGAACAATTCTAATTTTATTTATTTTCCTAAATTCTGTTGCCTAAGTAAAGGAAAATATAAGTTGAGTGGAGAGTCTCTTACCATTAATGTTTTTCTAATGACAAATAATACAGTTAAATAAAACTGTATGCCCAAACTTTTGCTATTCTAACCTGCTTCTCTCTGTGTGTCCCTCCCGCGTGTTCAATAGAACTTCTTGTCCACGATGGCACAGCGAGCAGTGTATTGCGCTATGCATCTTTCTTGACTATTATGAGAGTAAGTTTTAGGTACCATTTATATACAATAAAGAATTTTCCACCTAAATTTATGTTGACACAGCATCAACCATCTGGAAATTAAGATTAAAATTGAATCAAAATGCACACAAGAGTGCCATCTGACTCTTCTGTAGATTCTTCAAATTATACTCACGTTGCAATTACTCTAATTCACATATGCTGCCCCATTACAATCCTTTGGTAATCTCAACTAACTTCACTAACACTGGGCTAAGTTTGCACAATCTAGTTTCTTGCAAAAGTAATGTAAACCGGGGGTTTGTTTTTTTCTCTCCATCACTCAACAGACCACTTCTGCCTTGAAATATTGTCACTTCCCTTTTAGGACAATAGATTCCTCCTTTCAGTTTTTCTTCAGTCTTTTTTCAAATCTCAGTTTTCCTTTGTCTGATACTACGTGTAGTGCATTGCCTCTATCCTCTGTTGTCATATTCCATTTCTCTCTTGTTGACTCTCTAGAATACATTTTCCATCATGCTACCTGATAATAATTGTATATTTCAGTATTTTTATACTGTGTTTAAAATCTTTTCATTGTCATCACCTCCATAATAGAGAAAATCAACATATCATATATGTTTCTAATTAATTTTCCTCTGACATTTATGGTGATATTTCATTTTAATAGTCTCCTGCACTGATATTTTTAAAGTCAATTTCCATAATTATTTTGTACATGGCATTTCCTTCCTTGAAAGAGACATAGCCTATGACTCCCTATATCTTTTGTCTCTCATAATGCTATATATATCATCTTGTGGCATCTTCCTAGAATCAAGGTGAGTGGTTCTCTTACATATGCTCAGTAAATACATTTTTTAAAAGGTTAAATAGCATCATCTTTTTAGTTATCCATCAGGTCTATATAGGAAGAAGCTTAATTCCTATTTAATCCTTGTGTTTACTTTTCTCATTCTAAGTTGCTGCCATGTCAGAATGTGCTATTCTATCAGATATGCCACTTAAGGCTGAGATCAGTGGATCTTTTTCTAACCTTTGAATGCATTCTCCCTTGACGAAGGATGTGTATATATCTCCTTTGAATGGCACCTGGAAAGCAATCACCTGCTACATGAGATGTTAAGGAGACAGAAATGAGCAGGATGCATCTTGATGTCACAGTTCTGCCTATTAACTGTAACAGATAATGTGCCCTAACTCCTCAATAATCAAGAATTCTGTAATTCTGGATTTTGAGCAATATCTATGTAATGGTTTTTATCCCATCTTATATTCATGTCATTTTGAAAAATGTCAATTTTGTATAAAATAAAACAGCCTACACAAAACCGTGTATATAGGGTATATAATATTGCTCCATTAATGAATGGGAACTGATTACTTCAGAAGATAACAATTCGCTTATTGATTCTTGGACTACAGCTTTTGTTTTTTGAATACAGAAAGCACTGTCACCTGTCACTAGAAAACCAAAGTGTATAATACAATACAGTAGTAAGATTGAGTGGAGATTTGGGTAGTGAAATATTACACAGGATGTGTATACATTAGGGCCATCTAAGAACCTCCTTAATAATGCAAATATAATTAATCTTTTTACTCATAAGGACTTAATGTTTCCATATCATCTGTAGCTTCTAGTCACCAATAGTGACACCCATCAAATCCTTTCCTACTGAGTGATGAGAGTAGATGATAGAATATAATTGACATTCAAATGTAATGCACCAATATCTTACCAATGTAGTTATCATCTTCTCTGTTTTTCATTTTGAAAGCATTTTAGGGGATGTGCCTAATATTTTATCTTGTAGGCTACTATTGATATATACTAATATATATATAGTCAGTTACTTCCGTCTTAATGTTGATCATTTTAGAAATAAGATTACAACAAAAACTGGTGCTACATTTTAGAAATTGTCTTTCAACATTATACATTTTAATGATACATTTTTCTCTCAAAGTTCTCAATCACTGTCATACTTACTCACACAGAACTTCTCCATGGCTTTTATTTTCAGTTTAATCCAAAATGTTCGCGGTGTGAATAGTAAGACAGTGTTTGGAAATCTGTACGTACATTCGCCCTGCTCTTTCATGAGCTGACTTTAAAATGAAGAATTCTGGGCTTGGAAACGACTCTGTTTCTTATCACATCACATTTTTTAAAAAGCACTGAAAAATTCATTGTTATTTACAAAAAGCTAAGAAATAATTTCTTGTATTTTTGGTAACTAAAAGAAAAAAATTCTTATTTTTCCAAAGGTGATAAATGTTAGAAGCTCTGCCTGATTTCTACAGATTTAATGCCCGTATGTGTCTGCCATGGACTAAAATGCTACAATAACTAGAAAATCATTTGTTTTATCTGTTTAATATTCAACAGGGATCAATCAAGTGAACAAACAATAACATTCTTAGTGACCCAGGATAAAAAGCCACTGATGAACCCATTATATATTAAATGTTGGCAAATGTCCAAAACAGACAATCATGGGAATTCTATCCTTAGAGACATAGAGAGAGGAAACGAAATAGCAGCATCAAACAGAATGAACAGTAAGTTAAAGTCAGTTTACAAGGATGAAATATGAATCTACCTTATTATACATATAAAATGTAGCATACATACTTTTTTTGTAATATGCTTTCAAAAAATCTATGAAATAATTTATTACAAAAAGAACTTTAAAAGATGACTCATGTGTCACACAGCATTATGTCCTAACATATCAGATGATCAGTATAAACATTTGATTATTAACATCTTGTTTCAAAACATTGCTAAATTTGTAACTTGGATCATGACATGAATCATGTGATATATTAGCACTTTTGCTCTATTGATATTTCACATTCAGTTGTTGTTACTTTTAATTGATCTCAGTTTCCACAACTTTTTATGCTAAGCTTGTGTTCCCTTGTAGATATCTCATTTTTTCTAGTCCATTGTATTTTTAAATAAAAATATTTATTATAATTCATAATCCATTTCCATTTCAAAATTTCAGCTCTCATATCCAAGCTACAAAATATGTGAATACAGCAGTTTAGAGGGTGCATATGATGGGGAAAGGTGACTTGCTTTTCTAAAGCCTTTTTTCCTCCTACTACCATACTCTAACCACGCTGTTTCAAATGAATTTGTTTGTTACTAAAGACTCCAAATCCATTTCAATTTTACTTCCTTTTTTTTAAGCCACTCATGCCACTATTCAGGTTTGAGGGATAAAGAATCTGGAGGGATTTTTCTTTTCTTTTTTGGTTTTAAAGAAGCATACTATGTACAGTCCATGTCAAGAAGTGAAATCAACAGCAATATCCTATTAAACCGTCCACATTTGGGGGTTATTTATTTATTTACTTAGGTGTTTTTGGTCCTCCTTCCCCTTCCATCCTGACCCTCTCCTTGTTCCTGCCCCATCGCTGGCCTCCTTCATCAAAGTCTTGTCTATTGATGAATAAACCACGTTTCTTTTTTGATTTTCCTTATAAAAATGGTGATATTAAATATTTATCTTTGTAAGATTGACTGAGTTTGTAAGTATAATATTCTCTAATTCTATCTATGTCTTGTGGTGCTTAAGAGAACTGTCATTTTTTTAATTGTATGCATGTACCAGAGCTTATCTATCCACTTCTTTATAGTTGGGGTTTTGTGGTTCTTGCATTTTTTGCTAATATGGAAATTTCTGCAATAAATATAGTTGTACATGTGTTTGTTGATTTTTTAAAATTTCTTTAGTGTATGTACCCAGTAGACAGATGGATGTATTAATGTAGTGATTGTATTTCTGGGTTTGCAATTTTAATCTATTGGTTTTCATGTCTATTGTACCAGTACCAGGCTATTTTGATTAATGTGGCTATATAGTAGGTTTTAAGGTTTGGGGGTGAAAGACCTCCTACTTTATTTTTATTTTTTCAAAGTTTCCGAAGTTTCTTTCCATTCCATATACAGTTGTGGATTAGTTTTAAATTTCTGTGAAATAATTGTAGTGGGATTTGGATCAGAATTGCATTGAACTTGTAAAGTATTTTTGATAATATGACATTTTCAAAACGTATATCCAGGAACATGACAACTTCTTCCATTTGTGAAAGCTTATTTCGGTTTCTTGAAGAAGTATTGCGTACTTTTTCTTGTTTAAATCTTGTGTTTCTCTAGTAAGATTTAGTCCTAAAATTGTAACTTTATTATATTTATTCTAAATGGTCCTGTTCTTTTGATATCTTTTAATATAATTATCCTGAATATAGAATAATCCAATTGATTTTTATGTTGATCTTATAGCCAAATTTGCTGCCAAATTTTCAATTAGTTTCAAAAATTTTTAACTGAATCTTTAGAGTTTTTATATATAAGATCATAGTTTTCAAATAAAAATATTTTTATTTCTTC